ATGAGTGAGTCGACTTCAAATCATTCCTTTTTCATGTGAATTTGCATTTTTCATATTGAGCCAGGATGTTCAGAATTGGACATGTGAATCGGGTATCCTGATTACTAAATTCAAATCTCATGAAAAACCAGGAGCTAATACACTAATAAACAGCAGAGGGCACTAACTGGACTCACTGACAGGACACCGAGCTCCACCTTTCTAAAGTTCCACCTAATCCAAAACAATCCCTGCATTACACCTGTTCACCACACCTAACATGGTATCCAGCCAGGGCCTGAGCGGCTAGCACTGCTTTCTCATTGAACAAAGCCACACAACACTGACCGCCCCGCCTTCAACGAGGGACGGGGCTGTCAGAGAGCTCTGCTAACTGAGGCCAAGTGCTGATTCACTCAATCCAATACAGGGAAGCTAACACAACATGTCTGCCGTTATCCCCCGCACAGACAATTTACCCATTGTTTTTCCCCCCGTCCTCTCGCATTTCCTGGGGGGGGTGTCTAGATGATACAGATAGCAGTCTGGTGATGTCAGCGCTTTTTCTGACTGGACTGGGTTGGGGGCAAAAAAGCAATCGTTAGCTCTGGTGCTGGTCCGGTATGCTGAATAAGCACCGTGCACGCACGCACAGGCACACACACACACACACACACACACATACACACACAGAGCACGTTAAGCATCGGTCAGCACTTACTTATCGGTTGCAGTAGGGGGTTTCCTCGTCTGCGCAGCAGGGGCTCTGCCCTGGGGGGGTGTGTCCATCTTCCCGTTAGACTGGCTGTCCCTCCTGTTGGGCAGTCGACGGTCCCCCGCCCCCCCACCACGCCCCGCGGGAGCCGCATGTGCTCCGCTTCGGGGGGACCGGCCCGTGTGGTCAGGCTGCCGCAGGGACGTCCTGGGTTTGGCTGCGAGTTTGAGACGTGGGGACAAGAAAAGGACATTCAGTCACAGGATTCCTCACTCTAAACTTGTGACGGACATCAGCACATACCTGGCATGCCCTGCTGCAGTGTGGACCACGCTCTGCTCTAGGGAAGATTACTGCTAGCCTTTGAGAAGATTATGCATTGCTGCTGGGTGCAGTATAATTGCATACAGCGTCCTGCGCTACTATTGGCACCCAAGGTAAATAGGAGCTAAATCTTCTAAGATTTTCTGGGGACACCTCTAATTGTGGCACAAAAGTTTTTGGGGATAGTATTTATTTTAAGAAAAAATAGTTTATTCCTTCGATTTCTTTAAATGTGTGGTTAGATTTTTGTAAACAAATTGTTGAATAAAAGATTGGGAGGTTTATCAACCATATTTCGCATAGCCCTTTCAGCCAACATTTACCAAGGGCACCAATATCAGCAAAGGGCAGTAAGAGCACCGCAGACACGCCTGCACAGCATAAAACCGCAATCACCTGTGCATATGGTCTGAGAATCACCAATACAATGATAAAACCCTAATCTGAATACAAAAAAACTGATTTCAAATACATGTGGTGGGAAAATATCCTAAAACATTCTAGATTCAAAGTAAAACCCTAATCTCAATTCAACAAGAAAACCTTTTAAAAAACTGCTGTACAAGGAGTAGCAGTGAAGAAGCAAAAACTTATGAATCTGCCAAGAAACCCAGATAAGCCAAACTCTGCAGAACCCTCAAGGCCGGCCTAATGAGCGAACCTTCCGGAATGACCATATCGGTCAGCCTGGTCCCACTGCCTGAGCATGCGCACCTGAGTGTTCTGGAACCATCCATGACCCAGATAAGTTACTGAACTTCAGCTGAACCCAAGGTTTGGGAGGCTCATATGTGGTCTTCAAGCGTCCCTGGAGGCTTAAAATTAATTTACACTATGATGTAATGGCAAACTTGTTACTAAGGGTGGAGGGTTGCTTTATGGCAATGTACCAATCAGAGTCAATAATATTGGATAAGGTAGAAAGAGTCACGTTTAATCCCACCTAAAGAAACGTGCCAAAAGGCCAATAAATATGAGGGTTCGGACAGCCGGAGGGCAGTCGGCGTGGGGTGATTGATGAAGAATGAATGCTATGTGGTTTGCGCAGACCAGCCTGGGTTTCTTTGCGCTTCTACTGGATGGATTTACAATAAACCCAATTACATCAGACTCTGGGGAATGGATCTATTTTTTGGAGACAGATTTACAAGGGTCAGTGGAACACTTATCCACTTGCTCAGACCAAGTTTTATCCTACAACATACATCAAACCAACGACGGGAACAACAGAAAAACAAAGTACGACTCAATGATAGCAATGATAGCCTGACATAGCTACATACGCCCTAAAAGTTGGTCTTCGGCCCCCAGATACAACTGACCTTCAGTGTCCTTGAATTTTGACCCGATGACCTCCAATCAGTTGATCTTCGGCCTCCAAATACAACTGACCCTATGTGACCTTAACCTTTAACCCAATGACCTCCAAAACACAATCAGTCAAGCTACCCTCCGTGGGGAGTCACCCGGTCAGATTTGGGCAAAAATCCCTCCACTCCTTCAGTAGATTTAACGCGGACAAGATAGTTGTGAAGGATGTTGTGACGGACACACGCACAGACTGACCACCGGAAAACACTACACCTCCGTCCCACTGTGTGGACTGACACAGAATAATACATATAGCACAAGCAATACTACTGAAATCACTGCAAGTAAATCATCTAACGCATTGATATCCCTGCAATATCGACCCAGCAGCTTGCACAGATAACCGATATCAAACTGGAAACAACAACTTGGACAAATTAACAATACGAAACAAAACCAAATAATTTTCCTCTGCCGGACCAAGAACCAGAGGGATTCATCTTTATCGTACAAACGCTGTGAATGACAACACAAAATATTTCCATTGAAGGGCAGCAGTGCGTAAGGCGAGTGGCTACCAGACGCTTGTTGCCATCATTCGGGCCGTTAATGCCACTTCAAACGGCCCGCTGGCACTGTGGTACAGACATTTACTCGCAGTGAAATAATCCACCATTTTAACTATCCAGCTACATCCATCACTCTTCATTTTGCTGACTCAATGACAGCTCAAACTGTTCGAATGAGCCACAGCCATAATGAGGCAGCACCGAGGGACCTCATCGATGATGTCATCACAGCTCTTTCAGTAGGGCGCGGGGGAACATGGTGACAGCACCGTTATGTGCAGTTAGTGGGCAGGTAATATTAGCCTAATTGAAACAAGGGTCATGAGCTAACGACATATTCCCCCGACCCCCGCAATCTCTTCATTTCACTAATCACGAAAGAAGAAAAAATCTCAGAAATCCCATGATATCAAAAGGCACCAGTCTAGGAACTGATTGATAAGCACAGGAAGTTTCGTTAGGAAAATACTGAACGGTATTTGAGTTCTGCTCCAGAAACGAAATGACTACAGACACACAGACAGACATACTGATGACAATAACCCCCGCATTACAAGCCGGGGGAATAATAATAATGCATAAAATCATGCCATGAGCTTAAGATGAACTTCGGTTATTCCCAAAGAGGACACCAGAGGCTCCTAAAAGTGCAGATTTCACTTCTCCGCATTTGTGCCAGAATTTACTTCAAGGCCGAACCCCCCTGCATCATGTATAAAAGGTGTTTTCACAAGTGTGCAGAGAGACAGAATGGGCTATGAGCCAGTTTTACAGACAAATATTCAGTCACTTTCACTCAGAGTACACTCAGTTAAAAATTGGGATTCTCGACACCGAATCATTTTTTTCCAAGACTAAGGTTACTCCTCATCTGTAAAATGGCCCATAGCCTAAAATTACCTTTTTTCTTTAGACTCCCCTGGGTCTGACTGCTGGGTGCAGTCATAAAGGTACAAATTCAAACACTTGCCTGACACCAAATCTTCAGCAAATCACTAATATGACACCACACCTTCACAAAGTCACTAGTACAAAACCATACCTTCACCAAATCACTGATATAACATTATACCTTCACCAACTCACAAATATGACATCGTACCTTTCACTCAAACACCATGACACCGCACATTCTCTCTATCACCTGCATGACATCATACCCCCACTCAGTCACTGACAAGACAACATACCGCCACAGAATCACTATCATGACAGCATAAATTTCACTAAATCGCCGATGATATCGCGCATTTTCCTCAAGCTCTTAATTGGATCACGCTTTCACTAAATCAATAATGTCACAAACCCTGCATCATATAATCACTCGAACAATATCATATGTTTCATTCAGTAACTCGCATTATACTGTATCAGACAACTACCTAATTACTTTCACAATACTAAACATTCACTCGATCAGTCACATGACCTCATGTCTTTCATCCCAAACATTATGACCGACTCTCTGTCGCTGAGGATGGAGCAGACAAACTCCGCCTTCAGCTCTGCGCTTCGAGCGCTCAGTCTGTGCGACGGGCAGAAACTGCCTCCTGAAGTCTGTATCCCTGAATTCTGTCTGAACCACCCCCCCTCCCACCGCCGCCACAGAGCACAGCGCTCGTGCCGCAATGTTAATGAGCACAGTGTACCTGTCAGCAGCCGGTCTCGTCCTGGCAAACTACCGAGACAGTCGGGGGAGAGGGAAGGGGGGGGGGCGCGGTTCAGCCATCATCAGAGAGAAAAATCAATATGCCTTTGAGAGATGAAAGAAATTGGAAAGAGGGAAAGAGAGAGACTGGTGAGAGACAAAGGCAGCAGTATTTATTTACTTATTGTTTAATACAGAAGTAAAGAAAAAAATATCCATCCCTCCTCCTCAGCAGGGCCGCAGGGGAGCTGGAGCCCATCCCAGCTGACTATGGGCGCAAGGCAGGGACCCACCCCGGACAGCTCGCAAATCCACTGCAGGGCGCACACACCATTCGCTTACACACTCATACCTACAGGCAATTTAGAGTCTCCAATTAGCCTAATGTGTGTCTTTAGACTGTGGGAGAAAACCCACGCAAATACGAGGAGAACATGCAAACCCCACGAAGAAAGGACCCAGGCCAGATTCGAACCCACAACCTTCTTGCTGCGAGGCAGCAGTGTTACCAAGTGCACCACCGAGTGCTGCACCTCTAGCAGTACGTCCTTTTGATGGGAGCACCTAACTGAAACTGTGATCTCCACCCACCTAAATTATAACACTTGTAATAGACAAATACCGCTATGGGGCAATATTAAACAAGATAAGTGAGTTCAATGTTCAGAGCACATTAAGAGCCTGCTGCCGTCTAATCAATGCACCAAGGGTCTTGTCATTAACTGTAATGAGCATGAAGAGACTATTAGATCTGGGTGAAAAGCCAGGGCTGCCACTGTGTTAGCATCGCTGATCGTATTATACTCACGGGGTTGTTAAATGCACAGCCTATTACTGGTGAACAGCCCACGAGCTGAGCGCCAATTCTCGCAGAACAAAGCAGCATGAGACCCATGGTAAAACACCAGCCATACCAAGCGTGGAAAACTCACTCAACTCCGCGCAACGGAATCAATTTCCCAGTCGCCCCTATATATGCACACAAAGCATAAATAAATCGAGGAATTCCATTCCAGCACTCCATAGCCAATTCCAGAATGTTCTAGACTGCACAGTGTACTGCTCCTACCTAGCAAGCGCAAAATATTCACACCATGTGCCTGCCACATCACAGCAATGTTATGGACATGTGCCTCTGTGAAAATATCGTGTGCGAGCCGGAAATCTTTTTTGCTCACACAGTAGTTCCTCTCGCATGCAAACTTCCTGAGACGCCAGACCTACATAAAGGCACCGGGAAAGTCATGCCCATCCCTCGGAGGGGGAAAAAAGGCTGTTTCAAAGCAGGAAGCTATGTTTAACTACTGTTTACAACAACAATTCAACTAAATCCCACTCGCATCTCAAGACCAACCAATGATTTGCTGCTTACATTCCAAAGTATCCAATCATTTTCCAGCATTTTTCAGAACCTACTCAATAAGAGGGAAGTTACACATCAGTAAAGATATAAAGAGCTAGAGGCACTCGTACAGTGCAAACCTCAGCCAAGCCAGCACAATCCAAATCTTCGTGAGTGGGAGCAAAGTTCAGTGATCGCGTGTCCTACGATTTCAAGATGGCTGCCGTAGCAGCCATATTGTTTCACTGATCATGGTGAAAATCAATAGGGTCCATCTTTGATGTAGTAGCACTGCACCCACAAAATTTCAGACAAATCCATCCATTACTTTTTGAGTTATGTTGTTCACAAACAGAGACAGACAGACAGACAGACAGACAGGGGCGAAAACATAACCTCCGCCCCAACTTCCTTGGTGGAGGTAATAACACATTTTTGTTTATGGTATTGTCTACATGTACGAGTTAGGGTTTGGGTCAGATTTTGTCTTGCGGGGTTACAGGGTCAAGGAGGAAAGCTTATCTGGATGCCAGAAAATCCCGCATCTCAGACAACGCTGAGCCCAATTAAAAAAAGCCCTAATACACATGTAACACCAGTCAAAAATAGTTTTTGCAACCAAGTTAATGAGTGCACTGTTTTTACAAGCAGTGCAACAAATAAGGTTTGAACCGAATTGGATGAGGCCAAAAATAGGATACTTGATGAATGCCAAAGAGAGGAATACTCAAGATTCCTGTGATAGATTAGGAGAGAAGGACATTGTAGTGTTTGCAATGGATTTTACAGCGTTAAAAAATGGGTTGGCTATCAATTTCAAAGTGAATTACTGCGAAATATGTATTTATTGTACGCAGAGCTCATACACTTTTCGGCATGTGCATGCGAGATTACAGAGCATAGGACATGTCTGTTGCTGTTTGCTTTTCAAAATATTTGTCAGCATGATAAAGCAGACCATAAATATCTTCAAAAATGAGAAGAACTTTGACCAAAAGTGAAGTTATGGCCTTTTGCCCGCACATGACAGAAGAGCAGTTACTTTTTAATCACCTTCCCCAATGCCAGCGCAGACAGGGGCGGCTCTATCCCACCAAACACGTACCATTCAGCATTGAAGGAGTGGTCAGCTTAAACCTCATCTGGCAGTTGACTAACTGCTGGCCCCCAGTCTTCTTGGATGATCGCTGGCGAGCCACAAGCTCTGCGATGTGCGCCGTCTCCTTGCAGACTGTGGCAAAGCAGATCACCTGGATTTGAGGGCCGGAGAGGAATTAGGCTCCATTATGGCTCAAATCAGGGGGAGCAGCGAGAAATTGGAATTAAGAGCCATTTTGATTACGTTGAAGAGCTAGCACAGTTTAGTGAAATCATATTTATTCCAGATAAATCAAAGTCATTAACCATTAAAATGCCAAACATTTTTAAATACAGCCATTTTCCTAACAGAAAAGTGAATATACAAGTGTTATATAAGGCTCGTCCATAACATTTCCCAAAATAACAGCATAGAAAGGCTATATTATACCCTGTAAAAATTGTGATTAATGTATTAACGCATTGACGAGTTCATTACGACAGATGAAAAGAAACAGCAAGTTGAGCACCGTGAAACAGCTTTGCCATCTTTCATAAGTAGTGCCGTTTTCAGCTTCAGGTACTTCCACAAGGCTCAAGTGAAATGGTTCGGTAACAAAATAAATCGGCCAGTCAACTAACTCAATGACCTTTTCATTTTGCCATTTAAAAAGTGAACTCGGTCGATAATGGCATTCGAGCTTCATGCACAACTGCTCGATCTAAACCGACACAAAAGAGGTATGACATCCTCAATCATATAGAAAATGAAAGGATAAGGAGAAAAATTAAATAATGCATTTCCTACCAAAAATTAAAAGTATAATCCTGATTCAGTGAGATAAGAAGCCCACACAAAGTTTAACTTTCATTTATGCATCTGGCTAGCAAAGTAAAGAAGGAATTACAGTATATTGCCACAAACTAACCAAATTAAAGCCAAAGCACAGTTTCTATAAGGACGTAAAGGGTTCAAAATAATTGAAATTCTTCCTTCTCAGAATTTCAGTAACACTATGCCAATAGGAGCTATGATTACACATGGCAAAGTATGATAGAAACCAAATGGTGTCCATGTGCCGCAAGACCACATTTTTGTTGACTAGCAGTAGTGCAACACATGGACTCAGCCGCCAACCCTGACTGCCGTTGCGGAGTTAAGCCTTAGGGCACCGAAATCAATTTTCAAACGCCTCAAAAATGTAAATATCTTGAGCTTTTGAAAACCTACCATGTGGCGACTTGTTGAAAAGAGCTCCCCAGCCGGAGCTCTTTTCAACAAGTCACCACGTGATAGGTTTTCAAAAGCTTTGATTTTATTTCATTGTATCAGCGAGTGGCAAATGCTGCCTTTGGCGCTTTAAGGGTTAAGCACACTACATTGACCAGCAGACAGGTCTGCAATGTTGTCCAATAGGGAATGCTCGTTAAGCCCACACTGAGGCTCCAGTTATGTGTGGAAATCTCCTCACCTCCCCCTTTGCAGTGCGCTCCATCTTGACCACTGAGGACATACTGTCCAGAAAGGCATCCAGGGAAGTGAAACCCATTTCTTTGTAAGGGATGAAGTCTCCCGTCAGATCCTTGAAGTCTGCCTGCAGCTGGGATAAGGAGACTCCGTTCTTGTTGGACTGCAGGACAGCCCGCAACATCTTCTTCAGAGCCTCCGCGTCAGACATCCTGCGGAACCGGAGACAGAAGGAGAAGGCACAATCAGCAATCAGGCCCATAACCGCAAGCACGTATTAAAACACTTCAGAGCAGAGCTAGTCCGATTGATAGTGTGATTAACAGCTTTGATAAGGAAATAACATCATTGGCCTGTAGTTGATGATGGAAAACCTCAAGTCAAATTAAGAATGCGAAAATTTCATGTAAAAGAAGGGTATTCCCATTCTTTGACGACAGAACTCTTCCATATGTGGATGCAATATGCCTCAGTAAGTCAAAACAATAGACAGTGCCGTGAAGAAGTATTTGCCCGGTTCCTGATTTTTTTTTTTTTTTTCATATTTGTCACACTTAAATGTTTCAAATCATCAAACAAATTTTAATATTAGACAAAGATAACCCAAGTAAATACAAAATGCAGTTTTTAAATGATGATATCATTTATTGAGGGAAAAAAGCTATCCAAACCTACCTGGCCCTATGTGAAAAAATCATTTTCTTTTAGCCTACTTCACTTTGTCAGACAGGTTCTATTTAAGTGATTTCTTGATTCAAAAGGTCTGGCAGTAATCAGGCCTGGGTGTGGCTAGCGAAATTGAACTAAAAAAATGTGGTTCATCACAGTTAATTCATGATTTAACGGGGGGGGGCAATTACTTTTTCACATAAGGCCAGGTGGGTTTGGATAGCTTTTTTCCCTCAGTAAATAAAATCATCATTTAAAAACTGCATATTGTATTTACTCGGGTTATCTTTATGTAATATTAAAATTTGTTTGATGATCTGAAACATTTAAGTGTGACAAATATGTAAAAAAATAAGAAATTAGGAAGGGGGCAAACACTTTTTCACGGCACTGTATAGGCCACAATTTACTTTCGATTTACTGATGTAACCATCTGGCTCGGGGGGGGGGGGGGTTGCTATCTTACAAAATCCCCTAATGTTCCCGTGCGTCATCACGGAGCTTCAAAGATCGCCTCTTGCATTCTTCTAGGCCAAATGTAAATAATAAAAACAATAAATAAATAAATAAATAGAATGCTTTCATCTAATGAATTGATTGTCTCCCAATTTAATTTATATTTGGTCAAAACGCGCTGTCACTCCGCCAAACTTTTCCATTGAGACCATACCTAACATAAAAGAGGCCTATTAAGAGCGCCACAAATTCAGCATCTGTACATGCATGGCCTTCGTGAGTCCTAACCACTTTCAAACCACTAAATTTCGGTATTGAGCTCCTCTCATTTCTCAATTCTTTCATCCTACCCTGTTAGCCCAATTCAAACATTCTTGCATCCGATTATTCAGTAAAAACGACCATATCATGCAAGTTAAAGTTACAGGCCTGCTCAATGTTTTTTGTGTGTGTTGGCTTGCTGTGCGTCTACCAACGGATCACTTGCCACTCGAGATTTTTTACCAATGAGGTAA